TCGACCACTGGTCAGCAAGGCCCCGGAGAGGCCAGCGAAGAGGAGGGGCTCGTTGGCTTTACCGGACGCGCGGAGCACCCTCAAGGTGCCAAACGCTCGCTTGCTCCCTGTTCCTACATCCTGGGCGTCTTCTCAGGCTGTCATATAACTCCTGAGAATAGTGGTTCTTAACTCTGTAAGTATACATACCCTTGTACGCCTTATGGCTGGATGCGTTACAGCCATTTCCATGTAGATGTCTGTGCATACGTGCACACGCACAACTCTCCGCAGTTTTGGAGATCTCCGTGTTCAGTCGTACCTCACGTGATCTTGCACTGCCAATGTTGAGAACCAATGCCTTAGACTATGCATCTCCCAAACTTAATTAGCTGTCTCCTTCCTGTTTTCCTAAGACTTGGCAGGCGTCTAGGTCAGAGTTGTTTAAACTGAGGGTTATGAACTATTTAGTGTGTCACGAAATCAATTTAATAGGTTGCAACCAACATTTGAAAAAAAAAAAAAAAAGCCAGACGAGGTGGCTCACGCCTACAATCCCAGCACTTTGGGAGGCTGAGGCAGGCGGATCACTTGAGGTCAGGAGTTCGAGACCAGCCTGGCCAACATGGTGAAACCCCGTCTGTACTAAAAATACAGAAATTAGCTGGGCATAGTAACGTATGCCTGTAATCCTAGCTACTTGAGAGGCTACTTGAGAATCACTTGAACCCAGGAGGCAGAGGTTGCAGTGAGCCAAGATCGCGCCACTGCACTCCAGCCTGGGCAACAGAGCGAGACTGTGTCTCAAAAATAATAAAAAATAAAAATAAAAAAGAATAAAATGTCAGTGCCTGTCACACAGTGAAGGTAAGAATTGTGGAAGTTTTGTTGCTGTGTATATGTAGATGATATTTAATCTTCAGACTGAGACATGTTTGAGCATGAAAGTGGCTGTTAATATAATTACTCTGGGACCAAAGCCATAATTTAGGATTGTCTCCAGCCAGCCAGGACACATGGTCACCTCTATGTTTGTACTCAGTCAGGAAACAAAATGTATTATAGACATTTCAATGGTTGCCCAGCTTTGTCCCTGGCTTTCATGCTCCTATTCCCTCAATCTGTCCTCCACACAACTTCATAAACTGTCTGAAATATAAAGCTTACCACACTGCATCCTTACCCAGAACTCTTCAAGGAAGCCCAGTGGCCTATAGCATCACATTCACTGTCATTCAGGGGCCTTCAAAATCTAGGATCTTCAGCCAGGCACAGTGACTCACGCCTGTAATCCCAGCACTTTGGGAGATTGAGGTGGGTGGATCCCTTAGTCCAGGAGTTCTAGACCATCCCTGGGCAACATGGTGAAACCTCGTCTCTACAAAAAATACAAAACTTAGCTGGGCATGGTGGTGTGCGCCTGTAGTCCCAGCTACTTGGGAGGCTGAGGTGGGAGGATCACTTGAGCCCGAGAGATCAAGGCTGCAGTGAGTTGTGATGGCACCACTGCACTCCAGGCTGGGAGACAGAGCAAGACCCGGTCTCAAAAAAACAAAAACTCAAAACAAAATCAAGTATCCTCCAGCTTTACCTTCTCCTTCCTACCTCCAGCCGACCTGACTATCAAGTGTTTCCATCACCACAGCATCTACGTTCCTTGACTAGAGCATTCACCTTCCAAAGCCAGCTCAAGCATCACCCGTTGAACGGCCCAGGTCAAGCACTTCCCCTTGGTGTCAAACATTTACAACAGAAATTTTTGTTAGTCCATGGGCCATCCATCCTCCTACATTATTGACATGGCCTTCCCTCCCCATAAAACAAGTGATTCTAGATTTTATAAATGTTTATATATTTATGTAAGAACATATAAATGATTATTTATGTGCTAAGAATATATATGGTGGTTTTGAAGTGTCAAATCTCAAAAAGTATTTTTGGATGGTAGGTTTACTAATGTGTTAATTTCTAAAATTTCTACAGAGAATTTGCATCATTTGTATAATTCAGGAAAAAAAGAAACACAGGATAGAAAATGAAAAATTCTGTTTCTACTCCCTGTTGATAGTTTAGTGAATGGTTTTCTAAACTTTTTAGTATGCTTATATGTAATGTTTCATTTTCAACATTGAAATAATTTTAGATGTACAGAAATGTTGCAAGAATAATACACAATTGGTCAGGTGCAGTGGCTTATGCCTGTAATCACAGCACTTTGGGAGGTCGAGGCGGGTGAATTGCTTGAGGCCAGGAGTTCAAGCTTAGCCTGGCCAACATGGTGAGACCCCATCTCTACAAAAAGTACAAAATTTAGCCAGGTGTGGTGGCGTGCACCTGTAGTCCCAGCTACTTGGGAGGCTCAGGCACAAGAATTGTTTAAACCCAGGAGGCAGAGGTTGCAGTGAGCTGAGATTGCACCACTGCACTTCAACCTGGGCAATGGTGAGACTGTGTCTCAAGAAAAAAAAAAAAAGAATAATACACAGAAGATTTTTAAATGGATAATTTTGACTACATGAAAGTTTAAAACTTTTGTCAAACAACACCAACTAGAAACCAAAAAGACAGCACACAGAATGCGAGACAATGTTTGAAATAATAATATCTCACTACAGTCTAAGATCCAGAATATATTAAGAATATTTAGAACTCAATAAAAAAGACTAATAACCCAATTAAAAACTGGGCAAAAGATGTGAATAGAAATTTCTTCAAAGAAGATACTCAACTGGGCAATAAGCACATTTTAAAAAATCAGGCTGGGCGTGGTGGCTGAGGCCTGTAATCTCAACACTTTGGGAAGCTGAGGTTGGAGGATTGTTTGAGGCCAGGAGTTTGAGACCAGATTGGGCAACATAGTGAACCCCTGACTACAGAAAAATTTAAAAGTTAGCCGAATGTGGTGGTGTGCATCTGAGGGCCCAGCTACTCAGGAGGTTGAGGTGTGATTATTGCTTGATTCCAGGAATTTGAGGCTGCAGGGAGCTATGATTGAGCCACTGTACGTCAGCCCAGGAGACAGAGCAAGACCCTGTCTCTTTAAAAACAAACAAAAATAAGGCTGGGCACAGTGGCTCACGCCTGTAATCCCAGCACTTTGGGAGGCTGAGGAAGGCGGATCATGAGGTCAGGAGTTTGAGACCAACCTGGCCAATATGGTGAAACCCCATCTCTACTAAAAATACAAAAATCAGCTAGGCATGGTGGTGCATGCCTGTAATCTCAGCTACTTGGGAGGCTGAAGCAGAAGAATCGCTTGAACCTGGGAGACAGAGGTTGCAATGAGCCGAGATTGTGCCACTGCACTTCAGTGACCTGGGCAACAGAGCGAGACTCCTTCTAAAAAAAAAAAAAAAAAAAAAAGAGGCCTGGTGTCTTGGCTTACATCTATAATCCCAGCAGTTTGGGTGACTATCTGTGGTGGGAGGATCACCTGACCCAGGAGTTCAGGACCAGCTTGGGCAACATGGCAAGACCCCATCTCTACAAGAAAAATTTTTTTTTCTTCACCAAAAGCAGATACTTGAAAAAATTTTAAGAATTAGTAGAGCACAGTGGCGCATGCCTGTAGTCCCAGCTATGATTGCTTGGGCCTAGGAGGTTGAGGTTGCTGTGAGCCCCATTCACGCTACAGCATTCCAGCCTGGGAAACAGAGCAAGACCCTGTCTCAAGAAAATAATAATCATTAGACATAAGGGAAGTATAAATCAAAGCCATAATGAGATACCACTTCACACCCTCTAGGATGGCTGTAATTAAAGGGACAGACAACAAGTGTTGACAAAGATGTGGAGAAGTTGGAACCCTCATACATTCTGGTGGACTATAAAATGGTACAGTCATTTTTGGAAAACAGTTTAGCAGTTCCTCAGAAAGTTAAGTGATGCCAAGTATGGTGGCTCACGCCTGTAATCCCAGTACTTTGGGAGGCCAAGGCAGGTGGAGCACCTGAGGTCAGGAGTTCGAGACCAGCCTGGCCAACATGGTGAAACCCTGTCTCTACTAAAAATACAAAAATTATCCAAGTGATGGTGCATCCCTGTAATCCCAAGTATTCGGGAGGCTGAGGCAGAATCTCTTGAACCCAGGAGGTGGAGGTTGCAGGGGGCCGAGATCGCGCCACTGCACTCCAGCCTGGGTGAGAGAGTGAGACCACCTCTCAAAACACAAACAAACAAACAAACAAACAAAAATGGAAATTAGCTGGGCATGGTGGCCTGCACCTGTAATCCCAGCTACTTGGGAAGCTAAGGCAGGAGAATAGCTTGAACCTGGGAGGTGGAGGTTGCAGTGAACCGAGATCGTGCCACTGCATTCCAACCTGGGCGACAGAGTGAGACTCCATCTCAAAAAAAAAAAAAAAGAAAAAGAAAAAGAAAACCTTGTTGTGCTTTTATTTCAATGCTGAATTATTTACAGAAAAACAGATAATACCCTTTTGAATTTAGTGTTCACACACAGAATTTCTTTTGCAAGAAACCTTCCATAACTTGTTTTAAACCTTTAGCTGTATCTTATCTAATTGAAAATAATCCTTTAGCCCTAGACAAAAATTTCCATGTCCATTCCTTCTTAGAACATTTTACTGAGATTATATGATTAATGATTATTTGCTAAGATTAAGAGCCTTACTAAGTCCCTTACCAAAGTCCTGGGCCCTGCCAAGTTGTAAAGTAGGCAAGTTGAACAGTTCTCAAAGTCAAAAGAAGCAGTTTATAACTGTAAAACATTTAACAAACCTAATATCTGTCCCGTATAATTTAGACCACCTGTCTACATTTTAACAACAACATTTGCATTTTACCAGTAATCTTTAAGACTGTTTTTATTTCTCAAGGATTAAAGTCACACGAACTAAAAGGCATTACAGCTTTTATTTTCCCTTCAAAAATATTTGATCGAAGCACTTATTTTCCTTTAGGCCAATTAATTAGATCTCTCTCTTTTTTTTTTTTTTGGTTTTTTTGTTTTTTTGAGACGGAGTCTCGCTCTTGTCGCCCAGGCTGGAGTGCAGTGGCGCGATCTCGGCTCACTGCAAGCTCCATCTCCTGGGTCCACACCATTCTCCTGTCTCAGCCTCCCAAGTAGCTGGGATTATAGGCACCTGCCACCATGCCTGGCTAATTTTTTGTATATTTAGTAGAGATGGGGTTTCACTGTATTAGCCAGAATGGTCTCGATCTCCTGACCTCATG